TAAACGGGCGGCACAGGGCAGTAAAGGGGCAGGTAAAGGGCAGCAAAGGGCAGGGCAAGCTACGAGTAGGATCACAAGAGCAAAGCGATACCTCACAGAAACGTGTGACGAAATCCTTGTAAAGCGATAGGACCCCCCAAATCATCCATGGTCTGGCCATGAATAAGAAGTTTTGACGAACGCTCATATAATAGGTACATGCACGCGTGTTTGTGATCTGATTTTGCCCTGAGGGTCCTCTTTCCCACCAACCCTGCGTCTATGGCACGTGTCGGCAGCAGCTATCGGCGTCAGCGAGGTGTGAAAGCTCTGGCCTTCCAGGCTAACACCGCCTTAAGCGTTCCGGCTTTGCCGTCGATCAACACATTGGCAAGCGATGATTCGGCAGTGAAGCGCAGCTTGACCAGTGTTCTGAAACCCTCCAAGGATCGGCAAGTGCATGAAGCTCGAGACTTCAAGGCTCAGCAGCTCACTCCCAGATCTGCCCTCGACCACTCGCTGAAGAAGACGGTATCGGGAATAGACACAAAGCAGCTGAAGAAGATGACAGATCTCTTGAAGCGAGAGCTGAACATCAAGTTTGAAGCTCAAGACTCATCGGCACCCCGCCGACAGCCTCTGTATGTCACTCCAGAAGTTGCTGGAACAAAGAGAGACAAAGAGGTTCTGGGACGTTCCAAATATGAGGCCAGCAGTGTCGCAGAGGTCTGGGAGAGCGCAGAGCAGACTGACTTCGCGAAGAAGCCAGTCTTCCACCGGCTGAAAAATGCAGCGCTGCTGGTTCGCAAGATTGGTGACATCGCCGAGGAGTTGAACAAGGAGCTTCGGGTTGTGAAGCCCCATGGAGAGGAAAGGACGTTTGCTCGTTCCCTTGATCTTCTGACACCCCTCCGGTCCCCATTCATTGCCATGGATGGTAGAGTGGTGGCCTTGCAAGGCAGAAGAAACACAGAATGAATTAGGAGAGCGGCAGGGAAAGACTTTCCTGAGAATTGGGTTTGGAGGCTAGGATTTTGTTTCACAGGTCTATTAGGTCTGTTTTGTAATTCAGACATGTGGTTTCTGCCACGCAGTGGGCTGCGTAATGCAATTCCTCATCGTTCCTTTATACAGTGATGGTGTAGAAACACACGAAACCCGGGTCTAATAATTGTTCATGGTCCTTGTGGCACCATGATCCGAAGCTCAAAGAGCTGTTGTTTTGAAGCTCTTCGAGCACAATGTAGGCACCTTACTACTGAAATTGGGTTTTGAGTACGTGCTGCTACAAATAATTGCATAGTAGGCGCCACGATATGGTGTTACTAATCCCACACCCGGCTAGCAGTGCAGCAAGACTGACCCTAAACAGGGCAGGGTCTCCCAGACACCAGACGACAAAAGGAAGTCTAGGAGTCCAGGGCTGTTTGCCCTGCCCTCATCAGGGAGGCACTTCCCTGGTTGGCCGAAAGGCCGCTGCAGTAGCTTGTATAAAAAGATATCTTGCAGACAAGCAATGTTCAATTGGTGTTTGTCTGGCACCCTCGGTTCTCGGCATACATTTAGGAAAGGACGCTGGGCAGCGTCATCTGTTTGGGCTTCAAAGGGCCCTCACACTTTCATGCTGACTGCGACAAGAAGAGCCTGTTCCCAGACAACCTGGCATGCTGGTGCTAGAGCAAGTCAGGGATGCGAGGGCTAGAAGAGCAAGGGAGTCGGGAAGTCTGCAGATTCAGAAGAAGGTTTCACGCTGCAGCTTCTGTGCATCTGCAAACGGAGCAATAGATGTCCCGAGATTAGGAGGGAGGAGAGGCTCTTGCAGTTGCACGACGCCAGCAGCCAGCACCCCTGGCAGATGACTGCAACTTCTCCCTGAGAAAATTTCGCAAGAGGCGCGGGGCAGTTTGCATGTCATCACCTGTTTGTTGCCATGCCTTCGAAAATGTGCAACTGAACTCCCTCACAGTCGGCATGATGCCACATTGCCGAGGCTCCTGGGGAAACACTTGTGCCTCGCGGACGCCTTCCGTTGCCTGGACCTGAACGTGAACCAGGAGATCGGGCCGCAGGCCCGGCACCAGACCAGAGATGACCAGAGTAATCACAATGCAAAGCTGTTGTCAAAAGCGCACTTTCATGTGCTTTCACACATGCTGACATGGAGAGGCCAACACAGGGGAAGCTGTTCTGTGCCTGAAGATGCAACAAGCGCATGGCTCTTGGCAGGAGTGGGGAGTCATGTTCCGGGGCTCCGGCCTGGCTACGTTCCGGGAGGCGAGCACCGCAGCGCATGCACTGGGTCGGGCCTTCGCCATCTTTCCGACACAGAATTCGTGAATCCGACCTTCCGAGATGACTCTTACTTTCCGCTTGCATTATCTGTTGCACTTACAGCGAACAGAAGTCTTGAGAGAGGCGCGCATCAGCTTTGAGCTCCTGGACTTGAACCGCGACGGCCGCTGTGTCGCAAGATGGTCCTGTTGCAACACCCCCATGTTTTCAGCCTCTCAGGCAGCGTGACCCTTGGTGAGTTCCAGGCAGATGTGCTGCTCCTTTGGTGCTCGGTCGACTCGCAGACCTGAGGCGGCCCTTGAAGGCATGGCTGAGATCACAGGGGTCGATTCACTCCGAAAGCGCTTGGTCTCGTTTGGATACACAAAGACCATGCAGGCCGTGAGACTGTCTTGGCACTTGCGGCTTGTGTTCCACGTCGCACGGATTCGCATCTGAGATCTGCGAGGCTTTGGAAGCGATGGAAGGGAATGGTCTTGTGAATCCGGCCAAGCCACTGATTTTGGAGGCAGTTCCTGCGACAAGTTCCGTCTGCGCATGCCTTTGGGAGCCAGTAGTGTCGATGAAGGAATTTGCGGCTGCTTTGTGCCCTCGACTCATGCATTGAGAGCCTGCTGCTTGGTCGTGAACTAGAATGCGACATGAGGTCGTATTCACGTTGTCGAGCCTGACGAGCACCGAGCCATCTTCGTTGCTTGACATCAGTGCAGCTGACATCATGTATACTCGGTACGCCGCCCGTACTATGCCTTGCACGGGCGCTGGGCATAGCCGGGTCTTGAGGGGTTGACATTCGTAGTCACAGCACATCTTTGCCCAGCGACATCCAAGCACCGAGGATAATGTGCGAGACAGCGGAGACCCCGTCAGCAAGGCAGGGCCATGTTCAAAGCAGGTTGAAGACAAACTCAAAAACAGCCGTTTGCTTCGTGCAGTACTGCAGTACCGATAACTTATCCTCAGAAGCGTCCGAACTCGAGCTCACAGATCTCTTCCGTTAGGATGCGATGGGTTGCAGATTTTGGGCGCCTGATACTTGGTACTTGACATGATGTGTAGGCTTCCCTGTACGACTTGGTGGCCGCGCTCGGAAGTGTCGGTCCTTCCTTGCTCATGGAGGACATTGCCACGGGCTAAGCCACGGATAGTCTTTGCACAGCAACGCCATTATTCTCGCTGCGGCAGAGCGAAGACAAGGCAGACCGGGCCCGGCTCAAGTTCGGAAGCAGTGATGCAGTCTGGGAAGGCCCGCATCTAGCATTCGAGATCATGCGTCAGCAGTAGTCAGCGATTGTCGACATGACAAGATTGTTCGGGATTTCAACTCACGATCAGGTCTCGGGCCGGGAAGCTCGAGCAAGGAAAACATTGAGCTGAAGGTGAAGCCGACACTGCTTTGTGGCAAATTCGACACGGCTCGTGGTACGGTCGCCCAGGTTTTCGAGCGAAAGCTCATTGACCGGCTAGGCTTGTCCAAGATTGCCGCACAGAAGGTGCTGTGATAAACCCTAGGTTTGGTGGCTTGATGTTGGCAGTGCCCGACTCTAAGAAACGCTTGAAACATGTTCTGCAGGCGTGTCGGATTTTGGATGTGGATGACGGTGGGGATCTTTCACGATCCGAGTGCCAAGGATGCAGAAGCGGCGGTTCGATTTGTGCTGTCATGCGTCCGAGGGAAGCAGAACATCCAAGGCTCATCTCCGCGCTGGCACTGTCCAGACCAACTCTGCACATGGAGGACTTTCGGCGAAAGGCCAGACATTTGAGTATATTTGAGCCATGTCTTGAGAGTGAATGTGTTGCCCACCGTTGTTGGCAGGTTCAGCAGCGCTATCGCAGCATCGAGGCGATCTTCCGCGAATCCTTTGAGCATCTGGAAAACGAGGATGCCTCACATGCTACCAAATGAAGGAAAAGACAGCCACTTGCTCAGATTCAGATGACTGGAACAGGAGCTCAACAACGATGACGATATGCGGTGCCTTGGATCGGCAGAGGTGCTTACCGAAGCATCAGTGGGTGCTGACCCTGCTGCACTCTTCATTCTTGTCCGCTTATGGCTGTTTGGATTCGTCGTTCTCGTGGTTCTTTGGCATTTTCCGTCCCTCCCTCCCTCCCTCCCTCCCTCCCCACGAAGCATCCGGAATCAGCATGGGGTGATGCTTGCACCATGTCGTGGAGTGAGAAGTTGATATGGCCCTCAATGTGCACGAGCATGTACACCGCTCGGGTCGCAGGATTCTCAGAGGTTCAGCCAAAGGCCAGTGTGTACGGGGGCGAACAAGCAGAACGGTCCAGATCGGTTCAGATGCTTCAAGGTAGCTGCCTGGAGTTTGACTCCGACTTAGCTTGCAAGGCAACTCCTGTTGAATGTGCAAGCTTGGAGATGTATCGTCAACTTCTGGCTGAGTTCTGTGTCTGCACTGCCGGAGCACCAACATCCGTGGCAACGCTTCAAGTGACCAACCGACAACTTCAACCGCATAAGGCCCAGAATCAACAAGAATATTCCATCGGAACTCTTGTTTTTTGTCCTAGGACTCAACACTACTCTTCGATGTACAGCCGTCCAGCAGCCGAAGTTGCCATTTTCCGAAACTTTGCAATGGCATGCAATGGCTATGTCCAAGGTTGACCTGCCCTGAGTTTGCAGAGATCTTGGAGGAGCTGGACTTCAGCAGGTGAGGGGGCCACTTCAGCACGCTGCTGGCAATAAGAGCTCATTTGATATTTGCCCCGAACTCTTCCGGTGACAGGCGGGAGACCAGTTATTTGTTTTGGTTGGCCGATGCAAGCGGGACGACCAAGCTCACTCTGTACGAGCTCCTTGGATCGTAAACTAGCAGTTCACTGGTTCCAGGATGGATTTGAACTTCGCCCAGTTCCTTTAGCTTTGGACAGTGTGGGTCCCATGCTTGCAACCTGCACACGATGAAGAAATGTTCAGGTAAGGATGTTTCAAAAGATCTGTAGAAGTCAACATCTGCATGATTTCGTTCGGAAGGCATGGCCTTTGCTTTTTTTGTGGCGTACCTACTTGTCATTGTTTGTAAGGCGAAAGCCATGGCTAGCACTGACATCGGTTCATCCGCGTCTGCTTTTGACTTTGTTGGCTAGGCTAGGACAGCTATGGAATGGAAGAAAGTAAGGCCTTTGCAAGTCCATGTTGGCGTCGCTGACTTTGTTGAATTGGGCTGACATTTTCCATGACGGTCGGAGCTCAAAGAGTTGAGGGTGCCAAGTAGTCGAGTTGTCTTGGCCACGCAGCCTTATACGTGGCTGTGGAGGCCCTGAGAGGGATGGCTTGGAAGGCACGGGATTTCATAGATTCCGAAATCATCAAGGCAAGCAGTCCTATGAGTCCTATGTCTTATGTTTCATGGTGTGCCAGCGTCGAGTGGATGTTCGGTCACGTGGTGGTTAGGGATGTATTTGGGCCATTGCTGAGGTTCTTCCGCGGGGTGAAGCTGTTTGTGCCAAGCTGCGTGGTCGAGGGCATCCGCCTGCAGGCAGGCCTTGGTGCAAGCCAGCGAGGCCCGTTCTGTACACAGTCGCAGGCTCTTGTCCATCATCGGCGAATTGCTGACCTATTCCGCAATTCTGGAGTTGCGTGGGACCGGCGCTTGAACTGTCAGGCAGAGCGCCTTGCATGGATACTTCTCACTGGAGGGAACATCGTGCAAGCATTTGTGTTTTAGAGATGTAAAGACGCAAACACTCGGGGGAGAGGCTTTTGCGCAATTGCTGCTCAAGCTGGACGTGAAGTGCGAGGAGACCGCTGTTTGTGCCCTGCACTGCTTGAAACAGCGCTGCGCTCGCCAGGACCCTCAGGTCATCTTTGACTTTTTCGACGTCCGCAGCTGTGGCAACATCTGCATCAGTGAGGCCACTGGAGACATGTGCTCGGTGGTAGCAGCGCGCGCTGGTGCCGCAGGTCGTCTCCTGCCTGCAGAACCTCACGCCGGGCGTGAAGGCAAGGCTATGCCCCTGCACATCTCCGATGTGCAACTAGGAGTCTGGTATCTCTTCCCCGCAATCCCGGTGCTCGCGTGGATGAGCAGACCTGCTCTAAGCGATACCCTTGAACCATCAAAAGCACCTTTCAAGATTGCTTGCCGCTATGAAGCGCCAAAACGTTGCAATGTTCTTTGTGCGCACAACTTTGCACAATAATGTAGTTGTTGTGGTGTTGTTGCTGTGGAAAGTCTAGGCACTGACCTCGTGATCATTTTTCCCCGTGTGGTGGTTGGCTCACCAGACGGCCGTTGAGCCTGCATCCTTTGAAAGCGCGTAAAACATGGACCCCTGATTTCGTGCGACCGATTGCCTGCTTTTCTTCCCGTGCTCATAGCAGCGCAAGAGTTGCAATATGTTGAAAGTATTTCCTGGCGTCGTTACAGGTTTGTACACAATACTAATCGACTAGCGAACCCTTCTCTCTCAAAGCTGCTTGCTTTGACCTTCAGTTCTGAAGCTGTTGCAATTTACCGACATTTCCCAGCGACAGGGAATTGATGCTTCACTCTGGCGTATGGGTCGAATTTGCCCAGTGCTGCAGAAAATAAGCTTTCATGTAGGCTCAGACCAGCCAAGACTAAATTGAACAGCCTGCAGGAACGCACTACATCGCAAGAGTCCGACAAGCGGGTGGAGAAGGATTATCACAGCAATCGCAAGACCAACTCGTCACTTGCAGCCGTCAGGAGATTCGCGCAACATTGGCACCGATGCACAAGACGGCGTTTTGCTTGAAGTTTTCGTTCCTGCCCGTCGCTCGTGCTTGTGAATCTTTCAGTCAGGTCAACGAGTTGAAGTCGACCATGAAGCGGGACGTGCATGAGGCCGTCTGGCGAATCGGCAAGCGGTTCAGATGTCAATGTGCTGAACATCCGTCTCTTCCCGTCGTCCCGTCGCAGGATGTTGGGAGGAGAGTGTCCGTGTCGGTCAGCCCCAGGCCATGAGTCGCTTCACTTTCTGCCAAGATGCATGCAGCACAACAGGCCGGAGAAGCCCCTTGGGCCGGATCATGCCGAAGCACACGGTCCCTTGTCAGTCCAGGCTGACTGAACTTTCAGCAAGCCGTGTGTTTAGCGCTATGCCTCACAGGGACCGAAAGCATGCAACTTCCCAGCCGTGGTCCTCAATGAAACTTTCCAGAGGCTGCTCATGGGTTGTACACTGGTGTACCGTACAAGGTTATTAGTCAGATGTGGTGGCAGTTCTTGACAAACCTCGTCCTGCGACAAGGATGGCCGGTGCACCTGAGGCGCTGGCCCGTGACTCTTGCGCGCGAAAGTGCTTCTAGCCCGGGAGTGGACAGCAACGACTAGGGACGCAAGAAGAACCCGAGCGTCACGGACTACTGTGGCAAGAAGACGGTGGTGTGGGCCCTTGTTCAGAAATGGTCACAAGAGCCGTCGGCAAAACGGGACTTGCTGCAAGGATGGGCTGTGTGGATACCTGAAATCCTCCAACGATCTCTTGGAGGCTCACAGGCAAGTTCTGTCTCATCACTACAGCAGGACTGTGCGACAGGGCCGGATGACTTGGGGATTCGGTCACATCTTAGCCTTGGAAACACTTCGTACCTGTAGGACGGATTGGCACAAGAAGCAAGAGAGCATCAAGGCCGTGCTGAATCGCCGCATTTGAGGCTGGGCTGGCCTCAGTTTCACCGGGCACAGCGTGCGCCCAGTGCATTCTCATAACTCTGAAAGAGTTTGAAGCTGCGGTGCAGTTAATGTACAATGTGGTAATTCAGCTCGCAGCTCAACTGCGTGCCTGGCGATGGCTAAATAGGTCTCATTTCGTTTCCTTAAGTCGACATCCAGGTCGGTGATATGCATGATGAGTGGAGGGAAGTAAACAAGATCGATTCGAAGACCGACTTGTCACAGTATAGAGGAGAACATGCATCAGATTGGGTGCTGTAATTGCACCGTGGCTAAATGGATATTTTGCTATGAGTTTCCAGTGGTCGAAAGACTTACTTCCTTCGGGAGGGTGGGACAGGTCGTGAAGTGATGGATTTGTTTCACTTTTTTTGCTCATACATTCAGCGTGCACGCCGAATTTATTCAGAAATTCTCCGTTCGAGAAGAAGTGTTTCGTAGACATTCTTTTACATGGTTTTTACATGTTTTCAAAACGATTGTTAGTTAGCTCCATTCAGCATAGAGCAAGTCCCAAACTCGGGCGGAAGTTGAGACATTTGTCGAATTATGCAGTCGGAAGAAGAAAGCTGGCGGGGTGCGTTTTTTCGCGTTTTCGTGCAGTTTCTTGCCGATGGAGAAGAGCTCCGACTTTACTTCGGAGGAGGTCGTTTAGTCAAGTTTAGTCGGAGTACTCAACGAGTTCAAAAGATGAGAGCGGAAATGACTGTGAGGATGACATAGGGCAGTGATACCGCTTAAATCGGAAGTTGCCGTCGTGACTGTCCCTGAAGTCTTGAAGGGCCCCCGACGAAGGTGGCAGTCCCGGCGGCCCGGTCACCGCATCTCAAGGAGAGAAGCTCACAAGGTTCAGATCAGGTGCCTCCTTTCCCAAAGCTCCTGAACTTGGATGCGTGGAAGGCCACTCTCACGGCGAACATTTCGGCGGCCAGTTGTGTTTCGCATGTTTGTGGGCAGGCAGGGGAGATGACATGCTGAATGCAAATGAACTCGTCTGGTCTTCCAGACAGCAACATCGCTCTCAAGCCTTCTGAGCCCTTTTTCCTTTGAGGGTTTCATCGGGCCATGGGTCATGAAACGTTCTAGCGGGTCGCGCTCCAGCATTGACGTACGTCAGTGGGAGGGTGTTGCTCCGTCGGACACAGCAATTGTCTCTTGCACAAGTCACGTCACAGAAGCCTTGTCCATGTGCTTGCCCTGGACATGTCAGAGACTTAGGAACATGGAGATCTCCGGGTGGGGTCTGCAGAGTCTGCAGAATGCATGTGTACAGGCTCGCAGCCTCGGGCTTGCAGAAGTTTAAAGCCGAACAGATCGATTCTGGCACGAGTCCATACAAAGCCCAGACAGTGAGTGTTAGGCCTCGTATGTGGGCTGCCATGGAAGATATTAAGCTGCGAAAAGGTAAAAAACTTGACGAAGAAACCACTTGCAACCATACCCCACAACCACAGGCTACTGTTGCCGCGCAATGACACCTAAATTATAGGTTGCAACAATCCACTGGCCAAGCCATGGAGACAGTTGCAAGCGGGAGCTTCAGACAAAGCTTGGCATACCTTCCCCCAACCGAAGCGTAGAAAGGAGGCCGGTGATGTTCTTTCCCAGTCTGTCTGGATATCGCACTGACCTATGTATACCTATGTTGTCGTTTGTCTGCGTCATGTCATGTCCTAGCAAGTGAAAACAAGTTTAGGATCGTGGGGCAGCAGCTGCATAGAGTGGTGAGTAGCGTGGCAACTGTCATCAATGGCACGGACCTGACTCGACCAATTGTCAACATCTGCAGGTAGGGTCAGAATGCCCAAGAATGGAGAGAAGAAGAAGGACCTGATGTCGACACAGGCTCATCTTAAAAATATGTGTGCATCGTCTGTATCGCAGAGTACAGTCATGTTGAGCTAGGTGCTGTTGGCTGCATCGGGTCTGGCAGAATTCTACAAGTACTTCGACCAGGCAAGACCTCCGAGATCAGAGAAGCAGTGCTATTCCCCGGTGATACTTTCATGAAAAATGAGCATGGTGAGTTTATTGAATCGTGGTTTGCTTCTCCGACTGAGGAGTCTGAGATGATTGTTGGTGAGCAAGGTTGTGAGATTGCTGGCTACCAGTAGCAGACTGCAGTTTGCGAGGCGGGCCACTCCATGTTCGACGCCATGACAAAGATCAGCGACCTGAAGGTGGGACTCCGAAAGCAAGAGCCAGGGACCCTCCTAAACCTCCGTTAAGCAAAGGTGGAGCAGATCCTGCTGGAAGTCGAGGCGCGCTGTGGCGTCACCTTCAACTCCGCGGTGCGCATCAGGCTTTGGAAGGCTGGCACCGCTTTGACGCTGATGATGCTGATGGCTGCACATATGGAGAGAGCCGCCAAGATCTCCAAGAGCATTCCCAGGACAGACCAGAAGATGCAAACCATAAGAGCCGCCTAGGGGCCTCGAAGTTCCAAAGCCAACAGCAAATATAGTCGCACAACGATGACAACAAATCAAAGAGAACACCAGGCAGACGCAGTTGCCGTGAACTTGGGAGACGCCAGATCAGAGTTGACCAGTGAAATCGAGTTAGATACCATGAAGAAGGTGGGACAGTTGCTTTTTGGCGGAGCCACCGCGACCTGACATAGGCGCTTCGATACCAGTGGTTCCGCGGGCCAGGCAAGGGTCACTTGGCAAGTTCTGGAGAATGCGAGAGATTTGCTGTACAGAAACGCGAACTGGCAGTTAGACTTAGACATTACGTGGGCCCACAGCCGATCTCCAGCTAAGGCATGAAGTTCGTAGAACGGACGGATGTGCCACAGCTGCTGGATCTCAGCATCGCATACAGAGTTGCCTCACTCTTTTGCATTGTCCGAGATCAGGCACTTGCCTCCGTTGGAGTGGCAAGAGCAGGATAGCAAATTCAGGCCGCTCTCGTGCATCTGGCAATGTGTCTCGTTTTTCGCCTGGCGCGAGTGTAGCCTTCCATGCGAACAAGACAGGTTTGCCGATCTGGAGTCAGACAGACAGAGACAGATCGTTCGTGCCTTGACTGATCTCCGTACGTCGCGAGCCCAGTTTGCAGTCATCCTGTGCCGTGCACAGGAAAGATCAAACAACTGGCGCCTGGCGAGACTGGCCAATCGCTTCAAACCTTCCAATTCGAAGTCCCACGCTTACTGTGGCATTCTTCCTGCCGGTACACGACAAGTCAGTTGCCACCTGACAGGGTTTTGACTGTCGAAAGGTCTACACGCGCACACCCGACCTAATCTACGAGTACAGAGACTTGGAGCGCTGCGTCCAGGCGTGGCATCCCAAAGCAGGCCCCAAGTCACCGCGTGCTGCGCGCCAATGGAGGAATGGGAACGGCGAAATCCACGCTCGATGATTCAGGAGGATTGGCCTCGCCGCCTAGGTTTGCTGCGGTGATTCAGTTCTGCCCGTGCTTTACAAGGACATGCGGGAAGAAGTGATGCGAATGCGACTCAAGAGTTCCTCGACAGATTGCCTGTTCGTCATGCGCTATCGGCTAAGCTGCGCTGCAAAAGTTGCAACTCTTTAGTCACCGGCCTCGTGAGGTTGTATCGACTCTGCGAATGCCAGCATCGCGCCACTTGGATCTGCATGCTGCAAAAATTTAAACTTGTTTTTTGCAGCGGTGAGTCATGGCCCATCGTGGCACAGACTTGCAGCCGAGGGTAAGAAAGGCACGAGCGCAGAAGTTGAAAAGCTACGCGTCAACCTTGTTGCTGATCCAGCTGCTTGGTGCGACCAGTGCTTCCGAGAGTCCAGACTATGAGTGGGTCCCGCTTCGAGGCTTGTCATGTTCTCGCTCTGTGCCTTGGCATTCCACAGCCATAGCACGGCGTAGCTGAGTTCTGGATGTCGCTTCAGGCATGGAATAGGATGGCTTTGCACATTCAGGTGTTGCAATGCTGCTGACGGCCTTCGCGTCACTGAACAACACGCCACCTCAGCCACTTCAATGCACTTTGGAAAAGCCGGCCTACTAACACGGCAAGAAGGCAGTAGTTCATGGGAGTGCAGAGGTCCAAAATGCCCTACATTCCCGTGTGGGTAAGCACCCCTTGGGCTGCAGCTCTGCACACCTAAAGGTTGGCACACGAGAGGTCCCTTTAACAGTTTGGCAACAGACGAGGAACTGCAAGCAGTTGCAAGCAGTGCAGAGACTGGACCCTTGGCTTCCTGGTTTCGCGGCCCAAGGATTCTTCTCACTTTTTTTCTATCCAGCTTCCTGGCTCAAGTTGTGGTTCCACTTAGCATTCTGTCAGTGTCCTCGTTCAGACCTACTGGCCTGGCGAGGCAAGCAGTTTCTGTCCTCCATGGTGTTGTGGCCGCAAGATGATCTGCAGACAGACAGGGCGCGGACCCCGCGGCATCGGCGCCGTGTTGCCAAGCTGAGGTCTTCTTCACCGCATCGGTTGTGGCCAATGTCGTGTCGGAGCGAGCACGGGGAGATCCCCTGATTCGTGAGCTCAGAAAAACAGCATCTCGTCTGGGAGACATGCCATGAGGAACCTGCAAGAACGGTGCGCTCAGAGAGCTTTTCATGGATCGAATTGTCGGAGGTGGTTCCCCCTTCGATAGGTTGATAAGGAGTTTTGTGCTCGCTCTGCCCGCCCGTCAGCTCGAAATGGCATCGTGCCGTAGAGTGATGACATGATATGCCGTGCTGAGCGGCCTTGAGTCATTGAGTGAATCCAGCATGTCGTTGTCGCGTCCAGTTCTTCGTGCTTCATGGCGGGTTGCAAGCATGACCTTCAGCTGAGGTCTTAAGCTGCGAACGTCTCATAGAGCGAATCAGCAACTCGTGGCAAAGTGCTTGTGTTGTGACGACGGGAAAGTGCTCATCGGTTGACTCTGTGCTTGGTGCTTAGGTGATTTTAGGATCGCCACAGAGGAGCTCAGGTTGCAGAAGAATGAGGCTTGTCGAAAAAAGATAGCTTACTCGTTTGCAAGCCTGACCTGCGGTTGTCAGGCTGGAAAGAAGGGCGTTCCTGTTGGCCTCAACCTGAACGTTTCTACAGAGCCACGTGGTTGCAGTAGGCGCACAGAAGCGGAAAGTCTCAGAAAAGGCTTCAGGCCTATATGTGAGTTGGAACCAAGGGGCGGAGGGAAGAACGACGAGCGACTCGTCGAGCATTTGTACTGCACTGCTGCGTATTCTGGCATGTTTTGAGTGCAGCTCGCCCTCGCCGTAGCTCCAGGGAGGATGGTGACGATCCAAACCAGGACTGAACGGAGATGCGATTCGGCCTTGTTGACTTGTTGCTGTTGTTTCATTTCTGTGGAGGTGAGGCAGCGAGCGGGGAAAAGGCGCAGAGGGACATTGCTTGCACCAGAGTCAAGTCTGTCTAAGTCTGACTTGACTGCTTCAGGGGAAAGCAGAGGAAGAAGCAGCCTAAGGATGAAGCGCTGCAGCTTTGGGCGCCGGACGTGCCTGCTCTGCACAGAGCTAGGCAGCTAGGAGGTCCCATGTCCAGCCTCTTCGCCAAGCTGTGGTTTGCATGATGGGTCGCACCCACCGGCCGAGGCCGGCAAACTGGACAGCCACCAGCTCATCTTTGCGCTCCCAATCTCTGCGCTGAAGTGGCAAGGATTGGTATAAGCTATGGAAGCAAGGTCAAGAGCTTCAGATGATGCAGAAACAGCTTGCCCAGAGCTTCAAGAGACTGGATGTTGCGAGCTTGGCGATGTCTCTAGCCGTCACAGGCTAACTGCTTCCTTGCTATGGAATGTAAGGCTCCGCCAGAGGACTTTCAGCGGCCCGGTGGCGATCGCATGCGTACGTTCCATCGTGCGCCCTGCACTCTCTGGATGCTTGAACATGGCCATACTTCCACGCATGCTCGCAGAAAAGCTCGGCGGCGTGTCGGAAGACGACCTGTGCGTGCAGATCACTAGCAAACAGCAAAAGAAGCGTCAGGCGGGCACTGCCTGCAAGTGAGACGGCTCTTGATGTGTTGCCTTGTGTCGAGGCCTACGTGGAGCAGTTGAAGGAACAAGCGCTGGCGAAGCTTCCGAAGAACCCCCCTCCACCTTCCTTGACCATGCAATCCGTGGCGCAGGACGGTGAGTGAGAGCAAAGCGCGAGTGGAGCGCACAGAGCTAGCGAGAACCACAGGATGACCGCCGGCAAACACGCAGAGCTCAGGGATCCCAGGGAGCCCAAGGATCTCAGGCACAAAGTTCACAGTTACAGAGTGCACGGAAGCCGGGGGGTGGGGTGGGGTGGGGGATGCTGCGCCTGCCAGGCGCAAACCATCGGGCGACAGCTCACCGATCGGCCTTGAAGGACGGAGTTGAAGAGTGAGCTCTGCTGGAGCGCGCGGACGCAGCATGAACTTCCCTCAACTTTTCATCCAGAGAGTTTCCATGTATGGACTGGGGGGACAGGCAATGCTTTGCTAGGCGCGCTCGCACAGTTTCACAGACACCGCCTCGCGCACGTCTGGTTGCAAAATCTAAAAGCTCCCGAAATCAAGACTTCGTCATCCCGGAGCATGATGAAACATGTGCACCCTGCAAAGGAAGCCTGTAACCCTCAAGTAGTCTGAGGCTCCAAAGCATCTTGACAAGCTCATCAACGAGCATAAATTCAAAATCCAGGGAGCTCTGCCAAACCGGGAACCGCGTGTTCATAGATTCATGGATCAGTCTGTTGAAGGCCCGGGGTGCCTTCTTCCATTCAGCGTTCCTCACAGCCAGACAGACGAGCTAAGCAACAAACCCAGAAACGCTGAGCTTCATCTAGGAATCCGAGCCCTGAAGTCACACCCATGAGAAGATCAGTTCACTTGATCTACGTTTGTGTTGTGGCAAACAGACTGGTTGAAGCAGTTGGCGCAGCCTACTCTACCAAACCCGTGTTGTCCTTCAGCGGTAAAAGCCGGTCCGGGGCTGTGAATCTTGCCTGAATCGGGGTCAGGTATTTTCAGAGGTTGACTTGTAGTTTCGTCACGGTTTCTTAGCTCGTGAGTCCTTGGCACGGGACTTCGAACAAGCCTTAGGGAGACGGTTTGCTTTGGAGGTTACAAGAGCTGTCGCTTGAAGTCGCAGCTGCATCTCAAAGTTTATCCAACAGGAGAAGCTTCGGAGAAGTTGAAGGCTGGCTGAGGTTCTCTCCGAGTTGGCGGAACGGAGCCAGTTGGCGCCATGGCAGCCATCGGCCTTCGACTCGCGGGTTGCCTGCTGTGCGCACTGCGTATCGCAGCGGGAGGGAATGAATTTGAGGCCGTGACCCCCAGAGATAACATACAGACAGCGAATGCAGAGGGTAAGTGCCACTTAGCCAATCTGTTCCTTCATTCATTGGCAGACGACGACGGGGCAGCACAGCCCATTGATGTGCGGCCCGTAGCTGGGCAGATGCAAGCCTTCGAAGCAACGCTGGACTACCGCATGGCTGGGTTTCACATCCAGGCCACTGCGACTCCTCGAGATGCTTGCCAAGTCAGTGAGATGAGCACAGCTGCCACCATGCTCGATCCTGGCGATTCGACTCTGGCAGAAATCTACGTAACGGCCAAGCAGGAAGGTACCAGCTTCAAGACTTTGAGATACCTGGTAAACGTCTCCCGCCTCTCAGGAAGCGAAACCGAGCTCGGGCATGTAGCCGTCTCTGGGGCCTATTTTGTGCCGGGCTGGAAGCCAGAGAACAAGCAATACACGGCTTTTCTGAACCTCGAGGAGGACCTTGTGAAGTTTAACTGCATCAAGCTTGACAATGGCCAGGCAGTAAAAATGACAGCAGAAGTAGAATATGCAGGAACGCACATTCAGGCGAGGCGCCTGCAGACCCTTTCAGAGGCCCCCTCAGAGAGCAAGACGGTTGGAGAGGCACAGCGCGTGAACTCGATGCTGATGACTACGCTGGATGTGGGCCACAGCCGCGTTGTGCAACTTCAGGTCACATCTGCTGACAGGTCTCGAGCAGGTAACTACTACTTCACAGTTCAGCGCCCGCCCTGCGCAGAAGAACGGCGCTTCTTCGACGGAAGAAGCAGGATGTGCACAGATATATGCAATGAAGGCTTCTATGGCAGCTCGGCAACCGGACGCTGCACTCGATGCTTAGACAGCCATTGCGCTGTGTGCGAGGGGAGGAACTGCACATTGTGCTTTGACAAATACGAGCTTCAGAATGGTGCTTGCGTGTTAAGAGGAGCTGGCAGTGGCATGGCATTGGTCAGTCAGGTTGAATCAGGTGTTGCCAGCTATGCGCAAAAGCACCAAACAATGATGGTGATATTGGGAGGAGCTTTGTGTGTCATCGCTTCTGCTTGTGCGGCATCAGTTTTCTGCGCTCAAGGAAGCATCAAGCGAAGGCCTCGGCTGCTGCAGGAGGATGAAGATGAGATGCAGGACTTCAGCTACCGAGAAGATTCAGACAGGCCTTGATGCCCAAGTCGCCGCAGAAAGGGTCGACATATTCTCGCCGCAGGTCCTCAAAGACACTGTCACGAAATGTCACGAAAGCTAAGCTTGTGTGGAGCTTGCGGGAATTGCCGTTTGCAAATTCACCTCAGTAGTAGTGACCCAAGTCAAAACAGGATTTAGGAGCTTATTTCGTGGTGTAAGAATACCGAAACACTGGGGGGAAGGCACTACAAAAGGGGACCTGCCCAAGGTGGCGGTGGTTGTACAAGGCGTAGGCGCGGGGCCCCCTCCCACCTGAAGGTCCCTTGTCCACCATGGATAGAATGCTTTTGCACAGCGCACATGCGCATTCGGCAAAGACAGCGGCTTGCCTCGACCACTCTGAGTACATCGCTAGGATCACTAGGAGGCAGAGAGCTGCGTGGCATGTGCCGGCCCGAAAATGCCAATACACCCAGGAAAATTTGCCTTTGTAATTAAATAGTTATGCGAGGCCTCTGCCATGCCAGAGTGATTCGCAGTGCCGCGCATAGATTCGCGAGACGACTCGCCCCACACCTTTCTCTGCTAAGCTTCCTTCCCCTGGCTTTGGTGGCCTTTGTCAAGTGCAACGAGAAACAAATCATATCGAAGGAGTCGGAATGAGAGGCAATGGACATGAGGCGCCCGCGCCGCTCCGTGTGTGTCTGCATGCAGAGAGAATGTAGAGACCGTTAGAGACGAGGAGAGACCTTCGTACCGACACTTACAGATATCTTTGCAGCAGCGGCAGCACCTCTGGCATCCTGTGGCATCGCAGAACCATGCACTGTAGTACCAGGGTAGACTCTTGAAGGCGCAAGTGTAGGTATCAGCTGTTTCACGGCGGGGATATTAGAGATGGAGGCCCGCAGGCGCAACAGTTCCGTTGCTTGCTCCTGCGCTGTCATCGCGGCAGCCGTTTGTTTGCTGAGCGCGTGGCACCGCTCTGTCGCCTCGCCGTCTGGTCTGGAAAGGACCTTCAAACGCCTCTTGACACCGGCCGAGCTTCTACGGTCATTTCCTTTGCCTTACACTCTAAAGCGCCTCGTCAACGAAAGCCGTGCTGAGGCCGCTGCAATTTTACAGGGCGAGGATGATCGTTTGATTGCTGTTGTGGGCCCGTGCTCCATCCACGACCCGGAAGCTGCCCGCGATTACGCGCGGCGTTTGCGAGAAGTGAAGAAGGAGCTGGAGGATGATCTGTTGATAATCATGCGCACGTATTTGGAGAAGCCACGGACAAGTGTTGGCTGGCGGGGCTTAGTGAGTGATCCCGATTTGTCTGGAAAAGAGGACCTTGGCCGAGGATTGGCTTTGGGACGACGGGTGCTGCTTGACATGAATGCTTTGGGGCTCCCTACTGCCGTCGAATTCCTGGACCCAAATGTGGCACCCTACATCGAGGATGCCGTGACCTATGGCAGCATAGGTGCTCGCACGGTCGAAAGCCCAATCCATCGGGCGTTGGCGGCGAGCTTGAAGATGCCCATGGGTTTCAAGAATGGCAGAAGTGGTCGGGTCCCCAGCGCTTGCACTGAGACGAAGCATGGTTTCTGTCAAGCTTTGCGATTTCTTTGGAGCGCTGCTTCAGCAGCGGCACTGCGCTGGGTCCCTAGGTCCTAGGTGTTGTGTTGAATTACTGGCGCATCGCAGAGCCATCCGAAGGCGACATCCAAGATGCGGTGAACGCAGCCGTTGCTGCGTCATCTCCGCAGAAGCGGCTGGCTCCGGACAGACACGGCCGTGTGCGAATCGTCCAGGCGTGCCCGAGATTGCCCTAGAGCGCAGCAAGAAACCGCAGTACTTAGGCCGAGGGCAATCCCGCTCCTCACATCGTGCTGAGGGGCGCCGAGAGCGGTCCGAATTTCGGCCGGGCGGCTCAGAGCCCAGACAGGAGGAGGCGGCCTTGGCACTCGGCCTCGGACTTCAGGCGAGGCCTTCGTAGCGGAGGCCGGTGAGCGGCTGAGCAAAGCCGGGTTTCGTCCGGCCCCTAGGCTTTGCGGATCTTAGTTCTTCCTTTTGCTGTCGGGCTTTCAATTGAAGCGCTCACCGAGGCGGTGCGCAAATCATGATCGATTGTATGGTCCCCAGTCCGAGGCTTTGCCTGGCCGTATGTGTTCTGAGCAAGGCTCTCATGGCAACTCCCGGAAGAAGTACGAGGGAGAGGTGGCTGAGTTCGTTGGGGGAAATCTTGTGCAGCACCGTCACGGCGATTCTCATGTCAGGTTGTGGCTTGTAGATCCGTCGCCGAGCAGGTGCGTGATTCGCCACCATCGCGTTGTGACAATTTTCCACATTCATGCATGAGATGCGAGACTGCAAGCCATAGCATTGCCAGGTGTCCGCTGGCAATACTGGGATCGGCGGAGCACAGTCCCTAAATCCATCATGTTCATTCAATCGCTATGCTTAATCACGAAAACTGACGGTCGGAGTGTTTGTCGTCATGGTTCGTGATGCCACGAATTAGAAAGATCATAGTTTCTGCGGTGAAAAATTCTGAGCAACGTCTATGAGAGAGACAGGTGTGCCGGCTTCATGTTGCGACCAGATGTGATCAACTGCGTGAGAGCGTCTTCGGCGTATCAGGTTCTCATAGAGAGCTTCCTGGTCGCGGGAAACCAGAAGCTGGATCCAGGCTGTGGAAACAGCAGGGTCGAAGCACCACAACTTGGCAAAAAAAGGCTTTGTACTGCGGAGGTGTGACCAAAGTGCAGGACCTCAAATATGGCTGCAGTGCGATGGCTTCAGTCTGGCGGGCCATTGTAGGCGCACAGCCTGAGAGTCCCAAAACCAAAGCTCTGGACTCAGGTGACGGACTCATGCATGGATTTCAACTCCACGAAGGATTGAAGCTTCATGCTCGAAGCGCCTGCTAATCACTGCTAGTCCCATCAGCCAAGTCACAAGCATCCCATGTTCATTCTTGCCGGTCAAGGACCTCCTTGGTGAGTTGGCAGCGGCCGTCGTTGCAAGACGAGCGAAAGTATCACAGAGCTGGAAGGAGGCCGTCATTGTTGCGAGAATGCTGTCCCCCTCTGAAATTCTGGTTTTTGTTTGCCCATTGCTCGAGCAGGCTTTGCGTGTTGGTTTCTTTTGAAAAGTCTCTTCAGTGATTGATCTCTTTCTCTCCATCGGTCTCTCTATCCGTTTCTTACTCTCTCTCCTCTCATCCCTCCCCTGACACACTCCGTCTCCTGTCCTGCCAGAGGCTCGAAAAGGCGAGCCTGTCAAGGCACCTCAGCTGCATATCAGCACTCCAAAACCAAAACGTTGATGCGTGTGCAGAACGGGAGTCAGTCGGCTTGGCTCACAGAGGGATGGACGAGCAGACTTGCCATGACCGGCTGGGATCGAAAAGCTCAAGTCTCATAGGTGCGGGGAAAACGAGATTGGGCTGAGTGGATGTGAGACGTGTCTGTCGGCCAAGGCTTGACGCCGGAACCATCCAGAACCGCATCATGTCAGTAGTTCTCCTCAAAGAGCAGGCTTGCAGATGGACTCAAAGTTTCGCAAGTCCAGTGTGCAGAAAGCCTCCCTGTGAAAATACTGTGAATGAATTTCCGAATGTGATGGGACGACATGACAGCTTTCACCGCACACTGAGAATCGAGTTGTCCTGAAGATAGTGCATGGCATGCCGCAGCCATTTCAGTTAAAACTTCCAAATTCATCAGTTAATGATGCAGCGCACCCGACTTTTTGTACCAACGCGACAGCTGCGGTGCTCGTTTGTGCCAAAGAGAAGTCATGCGATGCTGTGCCCGTAAGCGGCATGTGACAGCAAGAGATGTGAATTACCTGTGCATGTTAATTTAGCGATTAGCTATTTAGCTTACCCGCGGCAAAGTTCGCGACACAGACCAACGCCAGCGCCATGGGAAAAGTTCGCCCGGCCAAAACACCAAGGCCGCGAAGACAAGATGCAGGATGGGACCCTCATAGGACTTCCTCTTCTAAGTTGACTGGGTTTTTGAGGCCAAGCAGCTGCTTCCAAAGGCGTAAAACGTCGCATCGGCAAGGCAGCTTGTGCCCAGAAGTGAGCGACTTTGCGGAGCAAACGGATTGAGACGGGACAGGCAAGTAAGTCCGGCAACACGCAAGGATCTTCGAAGGCAAGATGTTAAGTTTTTGCGGTTGTTTGCGTACTTTGTGCGGGGTTCGATGCATGCAGACGCTTGAGGCCTCAAAGACGGTGCTGGAAGTGGCCACAGGCAGGGGGTTATCCGCATCTTTTGTAAAAGTCTGACCAAGTGTCATGCTAGGTCCCCAGGCTCGTCGTGCCTTGGTGGCCTCTTCGGCTCGTGCCGGCAAGGCAGGGTCCATAAACAGAGCGATTCCGTCCCCGAGCCTGAGAGCGTGAGTTCAGGTGCCGGCCGCACCGAAGCTGGGACCAAGGCCCGACCCTACTTGTACCAGGAAACCAAAGCGAATCCATACTCCAACGTTTGCATCGAAAGCATGGCGAGTGGGCTTGGACTGCTTCGGAGCGATTTGCTGCCAGTACCCGCTTCATTTTCGACAGGCCCAAGATGAACGGAGTGGCTTTCTTGCAAGCAGCTTTCTTCATCCACTTCGGGGCCGGAGGTAGAAATACAATAGATGGAGAGTATGGACAGATTGTTTCAAGTTGAAAACCTTGGCAGCAGCACAGATTCTGTCGCATTAGCACCTCAGGCTCGAATGATGCAGGAAATTGAGGAAGCTCGTGAGCATGCCGAGAAGGCACGTAGCTTGGCCCCCCAGCATGCAGTGTCATCGCCCAAGGGTGTAGCTAAAGTCAAGACCCTGCAACCACTCTAGTGACTAGTGGTATGCAGTGTAATTCTTCATGGCACAAATATCTCTCGAGCAAGCATTTTGGCCAGCCGAGCTTGCAGATGAGAGCTGGAAGAGAATCCTTTGTTTGTCTCGAGGGCGGCAGGTTGTACTTCCTCCGCTGAGTGTACCGCACGTCGCCATTTTACTGCAGCTATTGCTTCCTGCAGCCCGAGACATGCACTTCATTTGTGTTATTTTTTGAAGCCTGGGCGTTCATTTCCAACGTTGAGTCTACTCCGAATGATTCCGAATGCACATACATATGCAGCAGGCCTTCTTACTGTAATTATCTGTGTCGCTTGTACCGTCGGCACTTCTTGTTTTCCGGGTCTGCTTGTCCTTGCTACAAAATCACAATCGAAACGGCAACGACGGTTCAACTACTCGTATGCTACGCTTCAGCAGCAGGATTCACCATCTATATGATTTTTCGCAGACGTCACTCAGAATCCTTCCATATGTCTGTGTGTGGGTGTGTGTAGGCAGCTAGCCGAGCGAGTGTTTCCAGAGGTTTCTGGGAGTGCGAGGAGAGTTCATCCCCTTGCTGCGATGCTTTCACAGGTGGCTGCCGTAACCGCGAAAGGTAAGCTGGCATCCCAGTGATTTTCGTGTTCTGCCCTTGCAGTCGCACTCTGTTTTCTGTTTGCTGGCCCAACGAAGCGACGGTATGGTGAGCTGTAGATGGAAGGTCCAGGAGACGGCCGAAAAGCAAGCTGTCTCAGCACAGCCAACAGGCCTGGCACATAGTACGTAAGGAAAGGGGACAGTAAAATCTGTTCAGGTCCTTGCAGCGTTCAATGTACGAGCCGCCCTTAATCACTCAGAAATTCCCTTGTTGATTCGAGCTCTGATTCAGAACGAGAGGAACGAACTGAACCAAGGGTCCTGCATGATTCTCATGCCAAGGCTCCGAAGCGCCATTTTTCCCAAAGATTCGGTGATTCTGTTGCCCGTCCTTTCGCGCTTCAAAGATTCACTACCGCTCTGTGACGGTGGCCAGCAGATTCAAAAAGACGAGTGTTCCTGTGCGGCTGTGTCCCAACGAGCACTCACTGAGCTTAAAGCAAGCAAGTTCGTCAGTGGGGCTGTATCATGTATTGGTGCCCTTTGCCTGTCTTGCACCAGGTTCGTTTCGCCATACTCTTCAGCACAACACTGTGTATCCTGGCCGGTGTTGGCATGTGTTGGCTCAAACGCACTGGGTTCAGGTGGGGGAAGATTGTTAGCGACCACTATAAGCCTTCCAGTTGATTCTGATGTTTGAGTCGCACTAGAGCGATGCATTGTAGCAGTTGTTCAACGATGCTGACAACGGGAAATGAGCGAACGTGTGCTTACGCCTGTGTGAGCGCAGCTTTCATCTCGCGACCGATGGCACCTGCGCAAGACTTGCCAGACGTGCTGGACGCTTTCTGCCTTCGAACGAACGAGGTGCGCACGGAAAGCGCAAGATTCGGTGCGTTACTGTCGAGTTCTTACCTATCAGCTGCAAGGCATGTACTTCGAACTTTATATGTACTTTATGTTGTTTCGCAGGAAAGCCCACAGCATCCCAGAGCTTTACTCGGTGCCGGTGCCTGGCAGGATGCCGGTGACGACTTTAGCCCCCAGCTCGCGGCCATGCTGCAAGGCAAGGCATCTTTTCTTCCGTATCAATCGCTGCAACGTCGAAGCTCAACAGCTTGATGTTGAACCCTTGTCAGGACAGTGCATGGACTGGGATGAGTTGCCACCCGAAAATGACGAAGGCTGCTTTACTTGATTCCGAGCCTCGAGACGGTGCTCGATTCTACAGGATGCATCGAGTACAAGTGGCGTCTGGGTCCGGAGCACAGCCGCAGGCCCTCTGATTGCATGCCCCGTCGAAGAATGGGTTCATGTCTCGTCAGCACAGGCGTGTGGCAAGACTCGCGACTACGCCTCAGAAGTAGCTCCTTGCTCGGATGGTTGCCAGCGGCCCTCCCCTTGCACTCCCAGGACGCAGATGAAGTTTCGCCTGGCCGAGGGCAACAACCTCGGTTCCGATATCCCGATGTGATCATATTACTTTCCTTGAGAGCGAATGCGGCTCAAGGCAGTGGCACAGCCTTCTACCTGCTGGGCGTCCGCGACTCTGGTTTCGCTGAGGCAGGTCATACAGTGCCAGCAAAGAAGCGCCAGCATGAACCACTTGGCCCCAGGGCCTTTCAGCCCGAGAGCACTCTGAAGCGGTTAGTGTTCTGATGGCGGCCACGTTCTCAGCTTCTGTTGCGCTCTGAGTCTCTGCCGAACTTTCTGACTATACTCTTTTTGTTCAGGCTGCCGGCGCGGCCGACTGCATCCTGCTTCTGGAGGCCGGAAGTGAAGCGACAACTCGGATGGACTCGGCTGATCTCTCGCACCTGCAGGCTCTGGGCCGTTCCTCCAGGTCACAAAAGAGTAGGCCCATTCACATTGCAGCTGCCTAAAGGGTTCAGGCTTGTTTTCGAATCATGCACAGGTGTTGCTCAGTGTGGCGGCTGGAACAGAGGTGCGTGTTCGACTTATCTTTGTCCATGTCTGAATCCTATGGTGCAGGCAAGCAGCGGTAAGCAAGCTGTCAAAGCAACTGCATCTTTGTGGGTCGCTTGCCGTGGTGGCCTCATCCCTGTTTCAAGTGCAATGTGGGTCGGGCCAAGATTCGTGAGGACTCCTGGCAAAGATGCCGCATGGAAGTGGAGGATCCCAAGGTGCAACCAGGGTTCGGCCGGATAGCACATCCGTATCACCTGTGTGCGGCAGGATATGATGGAGTTGTTTGCCTTCCGCTGTGGTCAGAGGTCGTATCACGCATCATCTCAGCAGCACGTCATGCTTAATCTGCGAAGAACAGTGTCCTGCAGGACGCAATAAAGAGTTGTGATGGAAGGTGAGGGAAGGCGACGATGTCCTTTGTAACTCTGCCATCTGTTTCTTCCAGACATAGGCGAATGGTCGGGGTTCACTGGTGTTCATCCGATGTGGCAGGTATGTATGCGTTGCATGGATCCTGGTAGGCTGGGTTGGGTCAAGAAGTGCTGAGGATGCATGCATTTTGGCATGGAGTGGCCCATTCGTTGCAGGTAGGCAAGATTTACAGAGCCAGTGCGTCCACACAGCGCATGCTGCAGGTTGGACCGCCTAGGCATCACCAGGCAAATCAGTCACCTTCCTTGGTTGGCCTGCCCGGTTGCTTTGGGCCAAGAAGCGATGAGAGGCATTGGCTGTCTGTATCAGGAATTAGATGCCGGTAAGCTAGGAAAGCAGAGTTATCGATTCTTGTGCTATTCTGCATTCCTGAAACAGATGCAGAGCATCCTCGCTTGTGCATGCTGAGTGGGCACTTCCCGCTTCCTCTAGATGAGGATACGAGGGCAGGTTTGCACACTGCTTTCAATATTTTTTTTCCGTTGCCTATGTCTGTTGCGACCACTGCGATTAGAAGCTGATTGCACTGGCAACAGACGTAGGTGCGCAGGCCTGCTTCTCAAATTGGAAACGGCCAGTCGCGTTCATGTCTTTTGGAGCAATATGGTTCGGACAGATGCCGGTATTTAGGCAACGGTAAAGGTCATGGGAGTATATTATGGTCAAGATTTCTCATAAATCGATCGTCATAGGAAACTTCTTTATTTTATCATTCTGGAATTTAAAATATCGGATATCATATAAATTCAATTTATATTTCTATCGAGCTGTCGATTGATCTACAGGTCCTTGAAGGGGATTTAAAAAATGGCTTTAACATGAAAAGTAGTGTGTCCGCGAAAGATCCGCGATGGGTGTGCGAAAGGAAATCATTCATTCGCGGTTGTTGTTGTACTGTAGATTTGCGGTATAGGACTTGTGAGGTATATGTTGGATTAGTCTGTAGATATAGATTTTAAGATAGGAATATTGGTTAATATTCACAGGGACCCGGGGAAGTGGGTCCCGGTTTCGTCCCCCCCCCTGAAGCTTAAATTCTGAAGCTTAAATTCGGCGCCTAAATTCGGTCGGTGCTGGCTGAAGCCGAAATTCGGCTGACGCTCATATTCGGCGCCGATATTCGATCCAGCAAACGAGTGAAGCCGAAAATGGCCCTGAC